CATGATCAATGATAGAAGACGATGAGACGAAAAGAGTTCACTGGATACATATCCCAAATCCCCTCCTCATGACGATGAAGATAATAGACTTACAAACAAAATCATCTCAAAACAAAGAATTACACACAAGAATGGTCTTCGTGGGTAATAACACTTTCCCCTCTTCCCTCTCCAAAACAACATGCGCAACCATGCCCTGACTATACATGCCACAAAGCCTCATCAACAGATAGATAAAAGTTCCCACATCTAAAAGCCCGAAAACATCTCGAAGAACTATTTACAAACATAGGCACGCGGTGATGCAGAAACATGCTGCACCTCTGACAACAAGCGATGCCGCAACATGTCGCAATGTACTGTCCTCTCCCCTCATTTGCTCCTTACCCTGCAGAGCGGTCCATGCGCTTAGCGAAATTAGCGATGTCGCAAGCATGGATCCGTGCTCAGGAAGAGGGTGACTAGAAATTACATGAATGGGACGCTAAGGGTCTGAGTAGACCCCGGATCTCCTACGCTCTCGTGCCTGGCTTGGCCCATGTCGGCACCGTGCGACGAGAGCATCCTCCTCTGCAACAGTCAGGGATGCTGTATGCTCAGCTGGATTTCCAAGAAAGATGAATTGCAACATATTAGGGAGAATGAAATGATCTCATGAAACACAATATTATACTATATGCTTCATTCCTGACAAAGCACCCAGCAAGCAAAACACCATCCTGCCATTTACTTTTATTTTACATAACAGGATAGCACCGATTCGGATTATTGTGCAGCATGGAGTGGAGCGTAACTGGCTCTGTGTTGATTCAGTTCAGAACAGTCACAAAAAAGAATCTTCACAGATAATGGATTAGTACTACAAGTTGTGGCAGATTCACAAATGAAGCAAAATTATTATGCTAAAACAATTAGTTTTTAAAAAATAGTTGTGACACTAATGGGGATGTCAGGATGGTAAACAATTCGAGAACTGTTCGACAATACCGCAAGCTACTTCTGTTCTACAGTACCATCAGCTACTTTATTTACAGTAGGTAGACAAATATGTTGGATCACGGAGTAAATATTAAGCAGATGGTATGCAAGAAAAAATAATTTAAGTCCTTACATGTGTCTCAAAGTCCGGGCCAGACAGGTTTACCGATAGATTTTTCATCAGTTGTAGTACCTGGAGATTATCCCATAAAAAGAGCATTGTAAGTGAGTAGAAGTTATTAGGTAATAAAAGTGAATCCCTGACAGTACATTTCGACTTGCAAAAGAATGAACAAAGTAAGCATCTGCATTTGCTGCGAACATATAAGTAACGTATATAAGAATTACAGCAACTAAATATCCTTGATAAGGAGTAATGTGCAACAATGAGTAATTAAACTTCACCCCAGAATCCACCTGTCTGGAATAGTTTCATAGGTTTTTATATGACACTGACTGAATCGAGGTACTGACATAGCAGCTTGTGAGTAACTGGGATGCCACTAAACAATGCAAACAAAATGACCTGGCCTTCATGCTTGCAGAAATTAATAGCTTTATAGCAGAACAAATGAATCAATTATAGAGGGGACATTAGCAAATGGCATACCGTTTCAGCATCTATAGGATCCATCTCTCTCAACTTCTGCAAATGTCCTGTTGTATCTGGATCAAATACGCCCCCAAGAAAGTTGTATACTTGAGCAAAGTCTGGCATGGCTGCAAGTTAACCAGAATAAGTACAAAACAAATGTCAGACTGGAAACTGATAAACCAGAAAGGCGAACACATTGATTAATATCAAGGCCATCAAAGGGTAATATGAAATACTGCACATCATTACATTTTCACATTGTAACAGGTACATCATTTATCATCCAGGCATCAAGAGCATTTATGGCAAATTCGCAAAATTTGAAGGACAGAATCAAGGTAAGCCAAATGCAGAAGGCTCCAACAGAGTTAAACAGGGAGAAACACACTGATTGACACCACAAACTGAAAGGTTCAAAAATAATGAATGGAAGTTAAACTAGCCTGTTAGTGTCCTCTCATATCATGCACATCTGCCAGATATGCGGAATAGAATTTGCACATATCATATCATGCACTTTAACAAGTGGAATATAATTAAATGAATGTGACCGATTGATCAACACTTTAACAAGTGGAATAGAATTTGCACATATCATGCATTCCAGTTTACATCTAATATAACCAGATGAATCTTAGTATAGCCACAACAGTTGCCACCATAATCCATAGGGTTGTGAATTTGTTAAAAAATTGTATAGATGTCCACAACAGTCTCCAGCATGTTAACAAACTGTATAGATGTATGATGTACAAAGAGAAGCTCACCATGCAGTGCTGGAAGTATAATCTCTTGCTCAATAGCATCGGAAGTTGGCCAAATCTCTTGCTCAATCGCATCAGAAGTTGCCCAAGTTCCAGATTGGCACTCTATGCTACTAGAGCTATTATTTGCAGCGCCTAAATCTGTCGGTTCAATAAGAACGAAGAAGTTAGTGGTACCTTGTAAAAATATTGACCATGGATAGAATATGCGGTAGTTAACACAATTGCAAACCTTGTGTATGTCTTGGGCTATAAGGCTGGGCAAGAACATCATCCCAGGAAGGAAACGTGTCGTCTGCACTTGAGTTTGTAGCGACAGTAGGTGCATCCATAGGTATAACACATCCTTGCTCCACGACATGAGGAGGCTGTTGTGGTAAGTCAACTTCAGGGGCTGCAGGAGCTCCAAGATGTCATATTAGACCGTTTTTCATTGTAAGTTATTCAGGTTAGTCAGATGAGGGATGAAAAATGCTTACCCTTTTTCGAGGCTTTGTTATGTGGGTACGGGTGTGCCGCCTTCCTCTTCGGCCTAGGTGGCGGCAGATGCTCACCTGTTCCATTCTTTTGAACCTTCAGAAAGTACTTCTGTGCGTGGCTCCTGATCTGTCAACAGAACTGTTGTTTTAGATCACCGCACAGTTTGTCAGGCACAAATATATAAGAAACCAATATCTATGTTGCAAACAAACAGACCTGGAAAATGTATGTCTATCAGCAATAAAATATTGGTTGCCAAGCCAGACGACTAAGCATATTTTGTCAGATGATAATAACCAACTAAACAGCTAAACAGAAGCAGAAGGTGAGTGCAGAAGAGAGCATCTCTATATATACCTGTATCACCGTCTTGGAGCCAACAAACGCCTCAATCTTTCTCCAATCGCGATCGAACCTGTTATGCAAAAACACAAACAAAGAGATACATGTCACTAACGAGGATAGACAGACAGACTATACACAGAGAGCCATTTCAGTTGCCACACGAGCCAGCCTCTCGAGAAGCAGCCGGCCTATGGTGCCAACACAAAGCACTCTTGTGCTCTGTCCATAGATTATCTGAACCTATGAAACGGCTACACGAAATTTCGATGTTAAGTCGCCCTGGCAGACGGACGACGGTGTCGACGCCGCTCGGTCAGAACAAGCTAACAGAGTGAAGTTTTACAGGGCACATGATTAATTGGTGAAAATATGGTAGAAATCAAATGTAAAATGACCCATGGTTTGCTGGTAACGGATGGATGGATGATTTGCGACGCAGGCGCCGCATCGAGCATAGCATCGATCGACACGATGAGCAGTTAACCACCTATTCCAATAAGTAGACCCTACTCCCACCTGCCAAGCTCCATGGGGATTCATTCAGTTCAGACTTGAGACCAGGCGTCTAGTACAGCATGCGGTCCAAATCGAAATCAACTGCGCAGGCAGCTGCCAGACGTTCTACTCTAGCCTCTAGCCCGGCCGGCGGGGCGGGATCCTCGGCTAAACTCGGGACCTAGCACGCCGGCGAGCTGGCGAGCTCTGACCAGCCGGACCTAAGCTGGGTCCCCAACCAGCAAACAAGACGAGACGGCATGAGGTCTGGGCCGAAACCAAGTGAAGAGGGTGGAGGTGGAATCTGCTTACAGGAGGAGCGCCTCGATGAACTTGTCGTGCTCCGGGTCGGTCCAGCTCTCCCGCGACTTGGTGATGGTGTATGGCTTCCTCACCCTCCCCGGCCCCTCCGCCCCCTCCCCCTCCCCGCCGACCCCCACCGCCGGCTCCATC